TTTTAGAACGTGCTCGTCTTTTAGGTTAATTGACGGTCTACTTCCGATTTATTCCGTTAATATTACTATAAGATAATAAAAAAGTGACCGAAATCACGTGATTGGAGATTTAAAGCTGCTTGAACCATATCAAAATTTTTCCGCGTCCTTACGCAACGTAAGGTAACTAAACTATAAACAGATCGTTTCTGATATTGTATGATGGCAATGTGGCGGGTAACACAACCATAAAAAGTTTCTTATAAATTTGCAAATAATTTATGTATTTCAAATGTCGTTGTTTTCTAGATTCACGCTAGCTGTTAGACCAAATAACCAAAACGTTTTGTCACGTCTTTTAACAGTTCAAAGAAACATGCACTCCAAAGTTGTGATTATAGGTTCAGGTCCGGCGGGACACACCGCAGCACTTTACTTGTCCCGAGCAACTCTAGAGCCGGTTATGTTTGAAGGACTTTTTGCGAACGGTTTTGCCCCCGGTGGTCAAGTACAAATAATTCCTGGTTTATTGAACTAATTTGTATCGATATTTTAAGAAATCTCGTGTTAACATGCTTCTATAACTTACAGCTTACTACAACTACCGATGTAGAAAATTATCCTGGCTTTCCTGAAGGAATTATGGGAGGGGAAATGATGGATAAATTTCGTGAACAAAGCATTAGATTTGGCACAAAAATTATCACTGAAACTGTATCAAAAGTTGATCTTTCAACGCGCCCATTTAAATTTTGGCGTGAAAATCATGAAGATAAAGAGCCTGATACTACTGATGCACTTATTATTGCAACAGGCGCAGCTGCAAAAAGATTGAATCTTCCTGGAGAAGAGATATATTGGCAAAAAGGAATCTCTGCATGTGCTGTTTGTGATGGTAATTAAAACCAATGTATAATTTGTCTTTCTGTGTCACATCATATTTAATTGAACATATGATTTTTAAAGGGGCTTTACCTATCTTCCGTAACAAACCTCTTGCAGTAGTTGGTGGTGGTGATTCTGCCGCTGAGGAAGCTACATTTCTTACAAAATTTGGATCACATGTATTTGTATTAGTTCGTCGAGACAAACTTCGAGCATCCAAAGTGATGGCGAATCGATTACTTTCAAATCCAAATATTACAGTGCTTTGGAACACTATTGCTATTGAATGCAAGGGTGATGGAAATGTACTAAATCTTTTGATTACGAAGAACACTAAAACCGGTGAAATAAATGATTTGCCGATAAATGGTCTGTTTTATGCAATTGGTCATGTACCAGCTACTGATTTGGTTAAAGAACAATTAAAGTTAGATTCGGACGGTTACGTTATCACTGAACCGGACAGTACTTGTACGAGCGTAGATGGTGTTTTCGCTGCAGGTGACGTGAAAGACAAGAGATACAGGCAGGCGGTCACAAGTGCAGGTTCCGGGTGTATGGCTGCATTAGAATGTGAACGTTGGCTGAGCGAACATTTCCCAGAATAATAATGTTTCATTGTATATTTCAGCAATTTTTGCGTTTATAAGTTTAAGCAAACAAACAATTAAGAAAATTCTGTCAATTGTGTCCATGATTTATTAATATTTTATTAGAATAATATAGTATCATGTGGTTATTTACACATCTTTGTGTGACTCATTTATAAAGCTCCGACGTAAATTTCGATTCTTCAACTTATGATTGACTTTTTATTCAGTTTGTTTGGAGGTCGATTTTTCTTGTTTCATAACAGTATTATATATAGACAAAGCCTAATATAAAAATATAAAATAATTAAATAAATAAATAAAGATTAAAACAATTTGTTCAACAAAACATGAAAATGAATAGTCCTTAGGAATACCTGAGCAATCATTGATCCAGCATCACTGACGGAAGCTGGTACAATTACAGAATTGCCTTGTTTAGCAAGTTGTCCAAAAGCCTCTACGTATTTTTCAGCAACGGTGAGAGCAACTGCTTCAGGACCATGGCTTTCTTTTATAGACAAAGCAATTCGCCGAATACCTTCAGCCGTAGCACTAGCACGAAGAAGAATAGCTTCAGCCTCACCTGAGAGACAATAGTTAATTTATTAAACATTAAATGAAGCTGAAATTAACTAATATAATTATAATATAATTAAATTTACCGGACGCCTTGTTTATTTGTTCAGCTTTTTCAGCCTCTGAGGCTAATATCACAGATTCTTTTGTACCTTCCGCAACGTTAATGGCAGCTTGTCTCGCGCCTAAGATTAATTCAAATAAATTTCATATTCTATTCTATAAATTTTAAAAAGTCGTAATAACCAAATATTATGACGGACCTTCAGATTCTAAAATAGAAGCTCTTTTGGACCGCTCAGCAGATACCTGAGAATGCATAGACTGCACAACCTTTTCAGGTGGTTTAATGTCACCTTATCAAAAGAATATATATTTAAATTAATTCAATATATATATATATATATGTATATATGTATACCGGGAATTTACTTACGTATCTCGTATCTTAAACATTCGACACCCCAATCTATTGCAGCACTATTAATTGCGGAAACTATATTTGCATTTAAGTGAGAACGTTCCGCCAATGTTCTGTCCAAGGTCATTTGACCAATTTCAGCTCGCATCGTTGTCTGGGCCAATTGTGCAATTGCATATTCGGCATCTTCAACGCCATAAGATGCCTATAAAATTTACATGAAACCAAGATACGAAACGAAAAATTTCAAAAGTCTGATAATATATAAATGGGAGTTTGCTACCTTGTATGGATCAATGACTTTTATATATAATACACCATCAAGTTCTAGTGTAACATTGTCTAGATAAAAAAGAAACATCAGATTGTGACTAAACGAGATGTTCTCTCGATTTATGTAATTGGTGGATCGTCAAACCTTGTGTTATAGCACTTTGGGTAGGAATATTTAAACAAATTTCTTTAAGACTTTTAACGTACTTTATTCGTTCGATAAATGGAATGACAAGAGCCAGACCTGGTGGTAAAATTCGATCAAACTGATAGATTTCACTAAAATAAATATCATTTTGCCTCAAAAAAGAATATTGAGTGTTCATAAAAAAGTAACCTTTCCAAAACGCTCTATAACCCACGCTTCTTGTTGTGGAACGAAATTGATAATCTATAAAAAAAAATATGTTACTTAGTAACAGTTAATTTAGATAATTTGCTTTCAAAAAAAGAAACTCACTGTATTTCGAGGTAACTTTGATCGAAGTTGAGCCTCTGGAATTGGGCTAAGAAATGAATATTCGTCACTATTTCCATATGAGTTGTATGCTTTCTGATTCAAGTGCAGTATATTGGATGTTCGCTAGAAAAAGATTTATATAAACTGAGATTTTGGCTTTGAAAATCCGGCCAGGTGATATTTTTTTTTAGCGAATAAATACCAGTGCATATCTTTTTGTTGATAGAGATAATAACGGTGTTTGGATTAATAATTTTGACAGTGAACGAGATGCCTGAATAGTCATGTTAAAAATTAATGCGTTCGTATGTGACATTCATTGCGGATAAAAATTAACAATCATGTGATTTGTATTCATGTTTTTCAGATAATCTTTTCGTTATCGGATTACATATCGATATATAGATTTAAGAGTTGACTTTTGTCATCTGATTTCTAGAAAGAAAAAAAAAATCCGACAAAAACAAGGAGTTTATTGCGGTTTGATTATTTCTGATTACTGATTTCTTCAATATTTTTTTAGACTACGTAGACAAAATTTGTGCATTTATCATTTGTAAAAATTTGATTGGATATTTTAATGCGCAACACCTATTTTTGCAAAAATATTACAAAATGATGAATACGCAAATTTTGTCTATTCTAAAATCAAAAAAACTGTTCAGAAATTAGTGATTACCTTTTCTTTAATGATCAAATTTCACAATTTTGCAAACCGAACAACTAAACTAATCATTAATCGGTTAATCGATTAGTTAGCAATAATCGATTTGTAATCGATTTTTTAAAAAATTTTCAACCAACTAATCAATTACAATATTTGTTTCGATTCGTATCACTACAGTGTTGTCAAATGTCTTGCATATTGGTAATTGTCACATCATTTTATTATATAATTTATTACACGACGTGATAAATAATATATTAAATGGATGCGACAATTACCAATATGACAACACTGTATCACTACTTTCGATTTTATTTTAACGCAAGAAAAGAATATTTTCAAATTTGTGCCACATGATTTGTATTTTTTTAGATTTTGTGCACTTTTCTCGGTTAGACTTATATGGGGTCTTTCATATTAAAAGGGCCCATTTTGCAATATAAACAATTTTGAGATAATTAAGTTTAATCATTTGTTTTGATTTTCAGACCGATCCGGGATTAAGCAAATTTTACGATTTTGATTGGTTAAACGTAACAGGTGACTATCAGGTAATCTCATGCTGTGCTTGGCCTTAGACAGCTTCGTATAATTTTTCTTTTACATTATCTTTATTTCTTATTATGCAAATCGTTTTTTATTTATAATTGAAAAATATCAGTCATGTTAAAATTTACATGAATCTAATAAAAACTCATTTTTCAAAAAATTTGCAAAATAGGCTCTTTTAATGTGAAAGACCTCATATTATTTTTGGCAAATCCTGCTATACAAAGTTACATAATGAGAAACTCGAAGTGTCATGAAATTAGTTGCGTTTCATATAATATACTATTGATCTTGATTATGTTCTTGATCATGTTCTTGGTTATGATGTTGATGTTGATGTTGATGCTTAGTGTAAAAATTTTAAGAGATAAAAGATTAATTTTGTATACTATTTGGTCTTTAGAACTTTTTACAAGCTTTCTTTATTGCGTTTATTAATCTGCTTTCTTAATATTCAGCAATTTTTTATTTTACTTTGTTAAATTTTTTACTAGTTTGATGACATGATAATCAATGATCATCAAAGACTGAAACGAACAACTGAAGAAAGATACTTTGATGATCATTTCTAAATCTATCTTTAATCACCAGACTAAAATATTATTACTTGTCTTTTGAAAATATATTATTTATTATGTTGATTTATTATTAGATAATTTTTCACTGCAATAATGTGATGCTGTAATAAATATATAATTGATTAACATAATGATACTGTAGTTAAATAAATTATATATATTATGATAAATTATCAAAATAAATACAAATCTTTTATTTTTTTTTTTCTTATTTCACTTTTCATTCTTTGCAACTTTCTCTATCTGATAACCAAATCTCAAACTTATCAATTTTTATCTCGTAACGTATTCAAAAAATTGTTTTGCAAATATCTTAGCTATAAGTTGGCTAATAGGCAATATAAATTCTTTATAAACACATAAAAACTTTACAAGATCCAGCAAATATAATAATCATGAATACAAAAAATCATTATTAGGCAAAAAATATATTTGCAATATTTGATCTTAAACTTATTAGATTTAACTTACACCTACTTGTGTTTATTGTACCTCAAGTTTTCAGAATTCAGAACTATTTTTTCAATGCTCATAAACATTTAAAAAACATCTATTATACAATCTCTTCACAAGTAAAATTAAATACAATTACAAAAGTGCATGTAACAAAAATAAAAATATAAAAATATGAATTGTAGATTTAAAAACTTAATATCAAGTACATTTTATCAGCGTTGTAAATAATCTATATGATCTTCATGACCTGCTATAAGTTATTCGGTCATAATAAAATTGATATGTCTTATCATAGTAAAAATTTTTTTATTAGATTTAATATGACCAACCTGACTATGACCAAAAGTTATATAATTATATGACCAAGATCATATAGAAAAAATATTATAACTTAGGTCATCAGCCATTACTGCATTTCATAAAATTATGATTTATTAATCCTTATTTTAAATTGTGTGAAAAACAACTACTTATAGTACCCCATAATCACTACCCGAGTGGGTACTATTCAAAAAATTTAATGGTGTTACAGTACCGTGGCCTTCTTAACAGCAGTACTATAACAATAACATGGCTACAGGGATCCTTTACAGGTTTATA